CCAGGGCTGTGCCAGGCTGCCCAGGGCAGTGGTGGAGTCCCCACCCCTGGAGGGGTTTCCAAGCCGTGGAGATGTGATGTGAGGGACACGGGGCAGTGGGGACCTTGATGGTTCTGTGAGGTGCTCAGGGTGGGCTGGGCTGCACTGTAGGTCCCCGGGGTGCCACGTCAAGTAGTTCTTCTTAAGAGTTGTGGCTTGCAAAGCAGACACCAAGCACGCTCTCCTCAGTCCCTGAGGTCGAGCTCTTTCCAAGCAGTCACATTTTTGACCCTTCCAGCTTCTGTTGAAAAGAGGAGCTTGAGCCTCAGGGCTTCCAGTGTTTTCATGGGCGTTTGTGTTTAAGTTGAAAAAGCTCTTTTTCTGTGAAGGTACAATCCAAGCCCTTCTCCTTTGATATGGCCACCCTCTGTCCCTGGCCACCCTCTGTCCCTGGTCCCCTCTGACACTGGGTGACTGGCACCAACCCCCAGCAGCATCAGTCCTCAATGCTGGGGGCCAGCTCTGCCCCGAGGCTGGTCCAGGTGTCCCACCCTGGGGGCACGGCAGCCGTTGGTGGTCCCAGGGGTGGCAGTGGTGGTGCTGAGGGTGGCCCTGGGCTCTGCCCTGGTGCTTTGAGGAGTCTGTGGGCTTTACCTGCAGCTCAAGCACCTGGTCCTGGCCCTCATCATCCCAGAGCAGAGAGGTTCAGGCTGAGATTAATGGACTTGGCTTGTGGAAAAGGTGCTGTTACTGTAAACAGAAGTGTAAAAACGTGGAGTTTAACCCCTGGCTGGCAGGGAAGAGGTTAAGCTGAGGCCTTGGGGTGAGGCAGCTGAGCTCCCTCTGCTCCAGTCCTGTGACACTGGATTCACCCTTAAATCACAACGTGGGCACCAGCCTTGTCCTCACCTTGTGGCTCTGCTGGTGGCATCTCCTGCCCCATGCCCAAGGTGCCTCATGGACATGGGTAACGAGCAGCCCCTCAGAGCTCTGCCTCCACATACTGATTGTCCACATTTTAAGTTGACAATGAGCCTTCACACTTGTGATCAGCCTGGTCACTCTGCTCAGCAGCTGCACTCCTGGGCCTGGCGAGGCCGCGCTTGTCCGTGGTACAGAGAGGACTCAGCTCCTAGAGGAGCACAGCCTGGCTTCTCCTTAGCCCCTGCACTCCGGGGAGCTCTTAGATCTGCCATCTGCAGGTCCAGTCCTGAGCTGGTGCCTTCCACCAGCAGCTGATTGTGTTGGTGTTTACGGGAGTCAGCTGAGACCAAACCGCCTGAATTCGCTGGAAACTCCCAGGATAAAACCCCACCCTGCTGCTGCTCCAGGGTTCTGCCTTTGCTGTCCTGCTCCGGGGTGCTCAGCTGCCCTCTGCAAGTAGGTGGCTCGGGGTGATGGTCCTGGGTTTCAGAGCTCGGGAGGGTATTGCCTGTGCTGAGTCCTCCTCGCCCCATGGAGGAGGACAGGAATGGGCCTGTTCGCTTTGGGAGGAGGTGCTAGAGAAGTTTTATGTTCCAGGAAAAGTTCTAGACGCTCTCCAGGAGGAAATTATTTCCAAGAAACAAATGTGTTTTGGCTTTAAAAGTGAAAAAAATGGAGAGGTGTTTCTTCATTAGGGGAGAATTAGAAGCAGTTGAGGTTGGTCTCAGCTGAGGTGCAGCAGAGATGGGGCCCTGATCCTTTCTGCAGCCGAGTTTGTTCAGGGACCCCTAAAAATGAAGAGGCCTCTCATAAAGTGTGAGTTATAAACAGAGGCAGGTTAATCCAGGCCTAATTTCTAGCGTTTATGCGCCTGTAATCCTTTTGATCCCCGGACCTCCACCTACTTTGTGGGGCTAATCCGGGTCCCCACTCGGCAGCGCTGCTCTCGGCCGAGGCTCCCGGTGCTGCTTCCCGCCTGCCCGGGGTGTCCGCTCGGTCTGCCGGGCGCGGGGACGGGGCGGCTAAAACCCCAGGAGAAAAAGTTTAAAAACAACAACAAAATAAAGTTGGAACTGCATCCTGCGGGTCCTGTTCCGGCGGGACCGCCGGGGACGTGCCGCGGCGAGCCCGGGCA